TTCTCTTTCGTTTTATTGTACCCGATATTGTTTTTTGATACTAGAAAGAGGAACTGAGTATCGCTGTGGGTTAAGAGCACTCCGAGCACTCCGAGCACGGGCGTTGCTGCTCTAAATTTTTGTGATATTTAGATGAGGTCTTAAACTTTGCGTTGTTGATAAGATATCCTAATGCGGCAGCTCAGCATGACTTTTGGATTAATTGGGAGTTAACAAGGTTAACCTCGGGTCCTTGATTTGTAATCTTATGTATCAAGTCGGTGTTGCTAAAATTTTCATTTACAGGAATTTGTTTATGATGGATCTCAAGGACTATTTACACAGGCTGGTTTCAATAATCCTTCTCAAGACGAGTCTCTTCAAAGCCATTTTGGCGGACCTGGTCCACTACAGTCGCAGGTCCAAATCTTGTTAATCATCTCGATTCCTTTAATCGGAAGACTTGCATATTTATCCTCAATTCATATGTATTTACATATCAAACACCTAAAATTCAACTTCTACATATATGCCACCTTACCTATGCATGAAAAGGTGTATTTCACTGTTAAAAAGTTATAATAATGTTATTTTTACGTGATAGGAATTATTTGGCTGGTATAAATGTACAAAGCGAAGTTTAGATGTTAGATATGTAAATACATGGGAATAGGATGAGCATATAACTAAAAGCCCCATTTTTTATACTTCATCTATTCATTTTAATGTTCGGCACTTGAAACTTTTATATAAATGCAGGGCCTCTTGAATCCAATTTATTCCCAACCTTTCACCCAATACAATGCCCAGCCTTTAAACATGCAGCAACCTTCACAACAACAGAATCAGAGCTCAGCTACCCAAAAACTTCACTATAATGGCTGATCCAATCTATAATCTCATGGTTCCCGTGGGGTTAAAATTCTCCCTATGAGCAAAATATGATTTTTGCAAAATTTTTGCCATTCTTGGCTCATGAAAGGTACAGAAGTTTGGGGCCGGCTTGCTTCTCCATTATACACATATCGGACCCCCCAATAGAACCTGATTGGGGTTTTCAGTAGAGAAAAATTTTGGTTTTCGCAACGGCAACCAACCTCCTGCACGGCCAGAGTCAAAGAAAGGTATCTATCCATTTATCTTTCCTAATTACAATTTTAACTATTTGGGGACAAATACGCAATTCCAGGTGTAAAAAAAAAAAAAAAAAAACTAATATTTGATGCATGTAAGTAAAGGGTTCTCCAGTTTCCATAGCTTACCTACAGAAGTATATGAGCGCTGTAATTTGATTTTGGGGGTTTGGTAAGGCAGAGTTGTTCTTGTCTTTTAGAAGGTTTGGGGCAAGTGTTTGTACATAAGATGGCATGAGAGCTGGCGAGCCTTTGAATGAATGCTTCGGTTTTTCACTCCTGGAAAATTGCTGGGTTGTTTTATACTTATTTGATTGTTAAATATTTTCAGTTTATATGCAATCTAGATATATTTGTAATGTTTTAATTATATTGCGTGCCACATAATTTTTTGTGAAATTTAGTATCTAACGTCCAAGTTTTGATATTTACATTTATAACACCTTGGTATCATAAACTCGTGCATCAAAGGTGTATTTCACTTTTAATAAGGTAATGAAGGTGATGTTTTTGATGAGATGTTAAAGATTTGACTGGCATGCAAGTAAATATGAATGTTTTGGTGTTAGATATGTAAATACATAAGAATTGTGTTATGTGTGTAAATGCCCCTCCTTTTTTCGTGAAATATATACATATCTCGCAACTCTTATGTATTGACATATTAAACACCTAAATTTTCATATTTATATTTATAATACACAAAAATTGGATGCCACATAAAAAATACCACAATTATTAACTTTTTAAAAGTGGAATACTCATTTTCACCCATATTTTTTATGATACCAAAGTGTTATAGGTGAAGAAATCAACCTTTTAAGTGTTAGATGTGTAAATACATAATGTGATATGTATGTAAATTTTTGTTTCTTTTTAATTCGTTTAATTGTATGGGCATTTATATACAATTCAATCCTAGTGTATTTACATATCTAACCCCTTTTCATGCACAGGCTCATGATACCAAAGTATTATAAGTGTAAAAATCAAACTTTAAGTGTTAGATATGTAAATACATAAGACTTGTGTGGTATGTATGTAATTTTTGTTTTTTTTTAATTTAATTGTTTGAGCATTTACATACAACACGATTCATGTTTATTTATATGCATAGCGTCTAAACTTTTTATTTACATCAAATTTTTAACATCTCAAAAAATATTCATAAAACTAACTTTTTTTTGAAGCGGAATTCTCCTCTTCTTGTATAGGTTTATAACATCAAAATGTTGCAAATATAAATATCAAACTTTAGATGTTAGTGTCGACCTCATTTTTGGGTAAGGTTTTTGCTTCTCTCATTAGAGCCTAAGGTCTAGCCTTAGGTTTTTTTTGTTTGATCCTCTTAGAGGACTAGTACCGGACCCACACCATTTAGAAAATTCAAGCCACCTCGTTACTCATCCGAGTCTTGCATGGGACGTCCCAATTCCTTGGCATCTTGTTGAGTTGGTTAGAACCGACATATGAAACTCGAGTTGAGTTCCTACATAAATAGGAGCAGCTCTTAGGGAACCTCTTGCGACCCAAACACTCACTAACGCTGCATTTTGCGTACGCATCGCACCACACACTATTTTGACTTGAATTGACTTGTCCGTCAGCGAACTTGTCCGGACGACCCTGAATGATGAAACAGACCACACGGATGAGTCTGAGACGTCTACTTTAGCTAGGAAAAACACTCATATTGCTATGGTTTCACTCGTGAGTAATTAGCATGAATATCGAATCACATTTTTTTTAGTTAGCGGGGCGCGGGCCCGGGCTTAACCCAGGTTCAACTTGGGTTCGATTCGGGTTGAACACGGGCTAGTTGCGTCAACTTATATTTTTTTTGAATTTTAAACTTTAAATTTCAAATTTATCATTTAATCCCCCATTAAGCTCTTCTAATTAAGTTGTTGTCGCTCAGGGAAATTATTCAATTCCCCGCCCAACGCAAGCTTAACGGCTACTGCAATTTGGGGGATACAAATCCCGTTGGGGCTTGGCCTTTCTCCCATTCGGCTCTCCCGCTCATCTCACCCTTTGCTCGATTCGGCTCCCCCGCTCCTTCCTCGCTCTCTCTGCCTCATGCACCGAAATCCTCACATCCCGCTCTCGACAAAACTCCCGCTCGCCGCTGCTCCACACCGGAGCCCTGCACTGGATCCCCTCGCACGTCTCGCCGATCTACACCGAAGCCCTAGCCCCTCGTCTCTTTCTCTCGACAATCGAAGCTCTAGCCGGCAGCACCGCCCGAGACGCTCGCTCGCCTCCCTGGATCGAAGCCCTAGCTGGCCTCCTTCTCGCCAGCGACCAGCTACCTCCCTCTCCCATTCCTTTTCATTCCTTGTTGTGTTCTTGTTGTGCCGAAGAAGGGTAAGGCCAGGTATATTCTTCCAACTATTGCATCTTATTGCTATCAAATTGTTTACATAAATTTGAAATGGAATCCTCTCCACAGACATGCATTCTTGTTGTTGGTCTAGGTTGTTAGATTGGACGATTGAAGCTGTCGGTACATAAGTTTAGTGGACCTTATTGAGGGGATATACATACAAATGCGAAGCAATTCGCTGCTTCTGTTGAGGGGGGTGGCCAAATATAATTGATGTCTTGTTGCTTGAGTTATTTGGAGAGTTACAAGTACTCTTTTATGGCTTTAGGAGTGCTGGAAAGTTCTTGAAAATTGATGGGAGTGCTGGAAAGTACTTGAAAATCACTGTAGAAGTGCTATCCAAAGCTCTAAAGCTGTTGTTTGGGTATAGAAGTGCTGGAAAATACTTGAAAATGGTTGTTTGGGTTCGTAGGAAGCCATACAAGTGTTTTTTGGTGTTGCAAATTGTTGTTTGGGTTCGTAGGAAACCATACAAGTGTTGTTTAGTGTTGCAAATGGCTGTTTGAGTTCATAGGAAGCCATATTATTTGGTGTTTCAAATTGTTGTTTGGGTTCGTAGGAAGCAATACAAGTGTTGTTTGGTGTTGCAAATTGTTGTCTGGGTTCGTAGGAAATCAAACAGGTGATGTTTGGTGTTGCAAATGACTGTTTGGGTTCGTAGGAAGCCATACAGGGATTGTTTAGTATTGCAAATGACTGTTTGGTTTCGTAGGAAGTCATATAAGTGTTGTTTTGTGTTTTAAATTGTTGTTTGGGTTCGTAGGAAACCATACAAGTGTTGTTTAGTGTTGCAAATTGTTTTTTGGGTTCGTAGGAGACCATACAAGTGTTGTTTAGTGTTGCAAATTGTTGTTTGGGTTCGTAGGAGGTCATACAAGTGTTGTTTGGTGTTGCAAATTGTTGTTTGGGTTTGTATGAAGCCGTACAGGTGTTGTTTAGTGTTGCAAATTGTTGTTTGGGTTCGTAGGAAATCATAGGATCACCGTACTAGCATGTTAGTTACTGTTTGGAGTTGTAAGAAGTCTTAGGATCATCAGTTTGGAGTTCCTAGCTACTGTTACTATTTATTCCGTTGCTTGTTGTTTTTTTTCAGCAATTTATTTAAATTTCCTGCAAATTGTATTTTGTTTTGTGAGCTAAACATAGATAATAACAACAGATACGTCAGATACATATTATTTATTGTTATTTTTTTGCTACAATTTACTTTTGCTCTAGCATATCATGCAGACTGATTGCGATTCCATGTTCAAAACAAAACAATTTTAAAAAATTAAACAACATTCAAAAAAAAATAAAAACATAACACGTATTTTTATTTTACGGAAGTCTCTCGGATGAGGTAACACACGGTTGTTAACGAGATCTCCTCAGTTTAAATGAGCTTAACAACTTATTTGGATTGAGTAAATTCAAAAGAAAATAATGATACCGAAACGAGGAAACCGTGAGATCCTAATCGATGTCGCTCTAATCAACTTTAACCCCTCATAATGACAACAAAACCAAAACTTTGGAACACACCTGGTAAAATCTTTTGAACCTTAAACTTTATGACTGCTACTTCGATGAGGAGTTTGGAGCAACTTCGTGGGCAGCACGGCAAGCAGCTTGGAGCAGACTACAAGTGGAGGTGATCGTCATTCTATAACAGCAAAACAAGTCTGCACCAGCTAAACTTTCTTAGTCTAAATGACAACTCATAGAACTTCGAGGTAGCTTGCTCAGTGCGACGTAAATCCTTACACCCTCTTTAGGCTCATGTACAATCATGTTGTGCAACATAAGTCTTAACTCTTCTTAGGTTCCAAGGTTGTCGTCCGGTACGACGTAAACCCTCATATCTCTGCGAGTTATTTGTATAATTGGATATTATGCAAATGTAAGTCCCAAATAATAAAATTGACAGAATTAAACATCTAAATAACATCGTCTCCAGAACTCAGCCACACATTAGGATAATTTGGGAAGTCACTAAGGTTTCTCTTCAGGATCTATGACATCTCTTATTTTTTCCTTTCTTTGGACTCATGAAAGAGCTGTTTCTACTTGAGTCACTCTCATTTGTTTTTCCACACCCTACCGTGAAAACCTAAACCTCGAATTTTTGAAAGCTAGTACGTCTCATCATTATCGAGAGTTTTCTCAAGTGACCCCCGCCAATTGGGATGTAATTAACTATAGGGGCTTGCCTTTATATGGAACTTGGAACCCCGGTAAAATAAACCCTATTTAATCTTTGTATTAGATAAGAGAATTTGTCAGTCACATATAAAAAGTTCGCAGACCAAACAAATGTCACAAATCTCTTAATTTGCAGGATTGAGTCTATCACCGATGTATACACTTATCTTTCGAGAGTGTGTAATATTCGCGGTATCAGACACAATTATGCAAACTATTAAACGAATGAGATCCATTTGGTCTTATTTTTTGAAAATTAAAACATACTAGTTTCAAAACCCAAACTATATAACTCTTATATTTAAATTAAATTTCAAAGTTATTTTTAATTTTCAAAATCAAAAAGTTGACCGACAGTGATATGTGAATGAGTGTCAAAACATTCCCTTTATTATTTACACGGTGTCATTTTAATCCCAAAGATTATAAAAGTGTTGGACTAGTCCGCAAACTCTTTTCATACGGCTGAAATAGTCCATAGGGAGAACTAAAATGGCCCCCGACGAGAAGTAGGGGACTGTTTTTACACTTTTCTCATATGTAAATATATAAGAAATGTGTGATATGTATGCAAAATTCTCTTGATTGTTTTAGATTTTTATTCTTGATCTAGAACTAATAACTTTATA